GATATAGATATAGATATAGATATAGATATAGATATAGATATAGATATAGATATAGATATAGATATCCTTGTTTTATATCCTTGTTTTATATCTCCTTGTTACAAATATGAATGGATGTGTTTTTCTAAATTCAGTATATAGGACTATATATAAAGGTAATCTTCAACTTTCTTTTGTTAAGCAAGGCAGCTGTTTGAATTTTGAAAAGTCTATGACTTTTCTTGCCACAGTTGTTAAATGAATCACTTGCAGTTGTTGTGAAAAGATTACCAAAGCTGATCACATTACCCCTGGACACTGCAGCTGTCATAAATACAAGTCAGTTGCCAAGCATCCAAATTCTGATGAATTGATGATGGGGATGCTGCTAAGTGCAAAAAATGGCCCTAAATTATTTTTCACTACCATTGTAATTTCCAATTGTCATTAAATGAATAGTTTATAAGTCAATGAGTACCAACATAGTACTCTAGCATCAGCCTTCCAACCATGCATGCAAATAATTCTTCCTTTATGCATATACATGCATATATACATATTTAAGATTTTTCCTATGTCAAAAGAGAGCCTCCAAAGAAAGAATTTGAATACAAGCAAGAGTTGCTTAAAAGAACCTACTAACAAATGGTAATTATGGTAATGAATCTTCAGCAGATTTGTGAATGGACCCATTTGCTTTGCTTTGTATGGTTCCCTTTAACATCTGCAGCATAAGAATTGCACTAAAAGAATGCAAACTGATGTATAAAACAGCATAAAATATCACTCTAGTTACTCTGATGTGCAGGAGTGATTGCTCTCCTGCCAGCTATTGTCTTTGCCAAAGGCCTCACACTGAACTGATAAAATTGTCTTTTTTCCTGGTAGACTGATTTTCTTCTTTCAGTTTTTAAACACCCACAAGCCAATAAAAATATAAACCATTATGACTATTGAAGTGAAAATTGTAGAAGCACTAAACAAATCTGGTTTTGGCTGGATCAGGTTTGTAGGCTTCCTGAAAAGACTTTGAATATAAAAGAAGATATGTAAGTTGGCTGTAAATCAACAGCTTGGCTAAGCTTCTATTGCTAAAGAAGCTTCTTCAGTCATTCCTGAAGGTTATAATAGCAGAGAAATGCATAATAATATCTGCTGTAATTACTGTTTAAAACTTCTTGGCTCAAAAAGATCCTTTATCATATGGTGTCCTCAGCAAGAAAAATTCACATTATAGCTGCTGATGAATTTTAATGGGAGAAAATGGATTAATTAAGGAAAAGTCTAATCCATAATGCCTACAGATCTCTTTTCATATCTACAAATATGTTCTGTGAGGTGACAAGAAAATATGTCAAAAAGAAGAATAGATTATATTACCTTTATATTACCTTATCATTTTTGGTTCTTTTCCTATTTAGCTCCAAAATAAATGAGAGCCCATCTGAAGCAAATACGATCTTGTCATGAGGATTAGAAGGGATCTAACTCTTTGCTATCTGCTCTAGCTTTGGTTTGAACAGGGCTTCCCACTCTTACATGTTGCATGCTGGGAAGGGAGATGGTGGTTAATATCACTGAGTGGTCCCCCGCCCTGATAAATTGCAGACATTTCATCCCTTGATATGCATCCCTGCATATCATAGCTTCCTCTCTCAAGGATAGAGTCTGAGTTTGGATTCAAATGCTTACTTTGGACTAAAAAAATAATACCAAAATAATACATAAATTGTATGTAGGGGAAATATCATTAAAATAATTCATTTTTTAAATTCATCTAAGAATTGTTTACAATAGATACAAAAATGGGCTGGCAAACCTACAGAAAAAAAAAAAGAATTCCATGGATTACTTGATTGAATGTCTACTACATTTTCTTCTATTGGAGGTGGTGCAGTGGTTAGAATGCAGTATTGCAGGCTAATTCAACTCACTGCCAGCAATTTGATTCTCACCAGGCTCAAGGTTGACTCAGCCTTCCATCCTTCCAAAGTTGGTAAAATGAATACCCAGATTGGTTGAGGGCAATATGCTGACTCTTTAAACTGCATAGAGAGGGCTGTAAAGCACTAAAACGGTATATAAGTCTAAGTGCTATTGTCATCGATACTATATCTCCAATTTATCCCTAATCCTGTAAATGGTCATCTTCTATTTAGATCTTATTGGACCTTATTATCAGGCAAGTATTTAAAGGACAAAAATTCCATAAAAAGATATAACCAGCATCAAATAGTAATGAGATAAAACAAAAAGCATAATGAGAAAAACTATAAAAGTTTTTAAACAATAAACACCTCCATGAGACCTCTGTGATGAGGTACTAGGAAGCATCATGGAGGTCTCCTGGAGGACTTGCAAGGTCAGGTGATGGGTCACAAAGACCTGATGAAGGCCTCACAAACAGCAACACTTGCCTCAGCTGGCGATGTTTCATCAGTAGCAAGAAGACAGAGAAGGTAAGTTGATGATAGTGGGGGGCAACATGGCTAGGTATTAGTGGCAGAGTGGAGGGCAGCCAAAAGGGTAGAGATGAGGATAAGTGAGGGGGGGAAGGTTTTTTCCTTCTTGTAAGAATGAGCTAAGTCTCAATAATTAGTCTATGATCACCCATTGAGTTTCTGTGGCTGAAGGTTGATTTCAACGTGGTCTTCTTGGTTCTAGTTCAGTATCTTAGGTGAATACAGAAGAAGAAGGCATAGTGCTTCTGAAGTTCTGATCTAATAATTATGCAGGCAGAAAATCAGGAGCATTTCTGTTAATGTAATATTTTTAAATGTTTCACGATACTTACTTGTACTGTCTTCATATACAACTGTTACTATCTTCCAGTTGTAATGTAGCACCAAATCTAAAACTGCCCGGCTGATGGCTGCATAGTCTGGATAGAGGTTGATGTAAAAAGAGTCTTTGAGATCCACTGTTGGATGTTTCCATCGTGTCTGAATATGTGGAACTTCAAGTGCATTGCAAATAGATTGTACTGCACTGACTGATGAACTGTGGGATGGTCCAAATAGTGCAGCTACCCCTAGAGCAAGCTGGTCACATGCTGAGAGAGAGAGAGAGAGAGAGAGAGAGAGAGAGAGAGAGAGAGAGAGAGAGAGAGAGAG